CAAGACAACCATCATCAATCACCCTTCAAAAAAAAAAAATAGCATAATAATACTTACTGAATTCTGTGCAGAATTCAACAATACATCACAATGTTGTTGTGATGCATGAATAGTTGACTGTGAATAATTACTACCACTGCCATTATGATGATGATGATGATTATGATTCCATGATCCATTTGTCGATACAGATATTGCAGATTGTAAACTTAATTCAGATGCATGACAAGATAAACTAGTAGTATTGTTTGCATAATCTAAACCATTGCCCATAGTAGTAGTAGTAGTCGTCGTAGAAGAATGTTTTGCTGATCGTATAGTACAACGTGACTCTGAACGACTACCACTAGCAAATGATGTTGACGACGATGAGGATGAATATTTACGATCGCTTAAAAGATTTGAAGTCACATGACCAACAGCATAATCAATGGCTTCTTCTATATCACTTGGTATTTGATTTGGATCATACAAACTATGTGTAATAATAGCACGAATTGATTCTTCAAATAAACTAACATCACCAAATATGGCTAACTTTGAATCCTTGAATTAAAACAACAACAAAACGAAACAAATGTAATGCAATGGATAAGGCAAACATGTTTGTGTTTACAAACTATTTCAATGTCAAAAAAACAGAAAAAAAAATGAGAAATTATTACAGCTAAGGTATGCTCTGTTAGAGAGAACACCGACAATGCACCTATTCAAAGTGGTCACCGCCTAAATTCCCATCCGTAGGTCGAAGGATTAACTAACAGCATCTATACTAATGATTTAGGTATATTATTGGATGGTTTTGTTAATTACAACTGTGAAATCATTATTGTTCGTCTGCTCACTGGCTTAACTAGCTGGATAAACAAATTTTTAGTTCAGTCGGATATGATGAATCGTTACAAAGATGAAAGTGTTGGGGGACGTTGTATTCACAGAACTCACTTGATAAATGTCTTAATTTTGGATTTTATGTTTTCCAGTATGGGCTGATCAGCTGACCTTGAGTTTAACTTTCCATCCGATAAGTCCTTGACTGTTATTGGGTGACGCTTAGTGGGAGGCATTGGGACGGTCGGATTAGAGTAGCCTATCGTGTTACTGGATCATCATTGTCTTCGCTCTCGTTTACCGAGTAATGTGAACTCGTAATAGTAGTTAGTTTCAAGCATATCAATTGACGAGCATATCATAGACGCAATCTATAGTCAAGTGCTCGAACTTATACGCAGTTTGTGAGCTTATTATTATCACTATTGTTATTATTATTGTGAGTTTTACAAGATGTTCTCAAATAACACTAAATCCACCAATAAAAATGCCGTATTTCATTATCACATTAATTTGCTAACGATCAAACAATTTTGTGATTGGTTGGTTGAAAAATTCAGTTTAACCAATCAGATTTTCACTAGAAATGAGTCGTCAAATCCGATAACTAATCTACATTTAAATCTTTTCAGTTTGTCCAGTGAAAACATTAATTTAAAAAAAAATCCATTAGCATAGGTTGGTGGTAGACCAAAAACTACAATTTACAAATGAGTCATATATTTATTGTATGAAAAAGAATTTATTTGGACAAACATTAAAAATTGTACTATAAAAAAAATAATCAATTTCATAGTTTGAATAGGAGTGGAACATCTGTAAAGAACTACTTGTGAAGGGAAGCGAAGATACTCAGTCAGTCAATCATTATCGAAGTAGAGCCTGGTATGCCATATTCAATGAGTCAAGGTTATGGTTTGAAAAGAAAACAATGAAACGTATGAAACCTGGAACTTAAGATCAAGAGTAAGAATATCTCAGCTAAAGTGACTGGTTTTGAAACGTCCTGCTCTGAGTCCATAACCATTGATTCTAAGGGTAATCGTGTGCATACCAATCAGACAGTTTGTATCTATCAACAAGTCAGTCAGCTACAACATAGAACTACATACGTACGCACGTACATTAGTTCAAGTAACCACACTACATTAGCACACAGAGATGCAATCGTCAATTCAAAGACTATAGTGACAGAGGTAGTAGAAATATAAACAGTAATCGGAAAGATTAGAGTTCGAAGATCTGATTCAAGGAGTATCAACATGAATCAGACCAACAGTCAATTAATACATACACTGATGTTACATTTCAGTCTGATAAATCCTAGAATACTTCCAACTTACTTCTACACTATCTAGCATTGTCAGTCAAGGTGGACGATGGTCCCTACTAATTTTTACAGAACATGTTTCGCAGACATACAGAAATATATTACAGTATACTTCTGAGCGAACTGATTGGTTCTTTCGTATCCAATCAGCGCTAGCCGATACTGAGGAAACATTCTGGAATATTCTCATGTAACAAAACTATAAATATACGAATGTTTTAGATTTCTCTGACTTAAATTACGCTTACTGTTTAACTCAGTAGGGTTATCTCAAAAATGGGGAAAATGTGAGTGAGCGCTCTACTTCAAGGCTAGAGTTGTGTACACAAAATCGGGTATACTGATAGAGTTTTGTGTAACCTTGATGTTTCAGAAACGTCGGGGGACATACCCAATCTACTAAAGATTTAGATAATTATCCAATTAGAACGTGAAAAATAATCCTCCACTTTTCTAGATGTTTCTAAGAAGCATTTAATCACGACGTTGATTGTATAAAACTTTCCCAGGCGTTTTCTGAACCTTTATAGATTTCGATCAGGGAGTGAGTTTTGGACACACCAACAGGGTTACTCAATAACTACGAATCTGATCTATATTGAGTGAATGTCACTCTACAAATTCTTAAGCCGCACACTATTCACCTACACTACAACAGGTTTGAAAATACAAAGAATGTCAGTTTATAAAATGCTGGATAGTGATGCACTGTGAGTGATTTGGTTCTTCAATAATGATTAATGAATTTAAAAAAATGATAGAATGCTTATCTTCAATTTAGAGTTATAGAGATTCGTGATTTGTTAGACCAATATTAGAAACCTAGAAGCACTGAAAGACGGCCGTTTCGTCCTGGTATGTGACTACTCATCATTGATGATTTCAAATGTGTAAAAACACTAATCTCCATAACTCTAATTGAAAATACTGTAAAATGTGCTCACTAGTGAACACTAGCTTCCTGACGAGATTCTCGGAATTCTAGTTGAGAAGACGTGACCAGTGGAGTTCAACCCTGTCGAGTGTAGGCAGTAACTATCAAATGCGAATGGGTGATGTCGCACAAAAAATCCCTAGATCAATCAGAGCTAGACATTAACACCGTTAGATGCCGGCTAATACAATAACATGCCTGTACATCATCAAAGTTTATGAAAACAGAAAAGTCATTAGAAAGATTTTATAGGTCAACCAAGTGTAAGTATTAAGCTTAATGCTTAATCGTCTTGCACACAACCTAAGGGGGGAGACATGTTACCAAAACGTTCCTCATAGAATAGACGACAACATTGATTCCAACAGCTTGTCTGTAATAGTTGGACGCCACACTTCAACTGAAATAAATAGACCTTTATGTGACATTATTATTCGATATGTATACAATAACTATGCAGTTGTTAGGAAATGAGTACTGTGTAAGGATAGCGGATCAATAGATGAAGTAGTGAAACTTCATCAGTTGAGGTGGTTAAGATATGTGCTGCGTATGTCTAACCACCAACTGCCTCGACGACCTATGTTTTGTGGTATAGGAATAGGTTGGAAGAAAGTTAGGGGCGGTCAAACCAAAACATGGCACAAATCCATGAAATCACTGACAAGTTGAATGAGTCATGTTAGTAGATGTAGACAACCTGGTTAGGGTCCGCGAAATGATAATAATCGATGGTCAGAGATGTCGAATGACACGGCTCAAAACTGTTTGCAATGGAACAGGTGCATCCATTCTTTGTGTTCTCTCAAATACTAGTCTTCTAAACTCCTCAAGACCGTTTTTATCTCCTTTTTTAACTGATTCCTCTTAGGTATACAACTTGAATGATATATTCTATAACTAATCTTTCCTGATTACCGCTAATACTTTTACTACCTTTACAACTACTAAGGGATTTCAATTGACAACTGCGTCTCTGTGTGCGCTAATCTGGTAGTATGGCAACTTGAACTGTGATGTACATACACGTACGAAGTTCTACGGTGTAACTAACTGACTGACTGACAATAATAATGTTCTTGATTTTATTAGATTTCTAAATCTACAATTTCGCATATTGTTCAACTACTATCACCAAACATTCTATAGAACAAGCACTTTTATTTATTAAGTCAAAACTAACCTATCCCGATTGTGATATAATATGAATAGTGATGTACACAAATCTATCAGCTTCTTCGACATTGTATTTAATCATAACTGATCGATTGACTCTACCTACTATACACCAATCAATGCTGCAGAATTTAAGCAGGCAAGCAAGCAAACAAGCACAAAGTTTCCCATAACAATAAAAACTAATAATAATAATAAATACTCTTCTAATAATTGTGTATGTACTTGCACAACAATAGAATGAAAGTTGTTTCGGGTAATAAAAAACAAACACACACGCACGCACGCACACACACACACGTACACAGCTCGATGCACATACATACAATACATTAAAGCAGAAACAGTTGGTAGTATAAAAACACACACATTAATTTTACTAACTAACTAACTAAATAAAATTAATTTTCCTTTATTAGACTGTCAGTCAGTAAAAAAACAAACCATACTATGAAAAATGTAGTAGTGTAGTAGTAGTAGTAGAAGTAGAGCGGAGAATCGGTACAGATGAAATCCAACTTTTGGTATAAACATTTACATATATATTTATACGAATATAATGCAAACGTTTCATATCTAACCCTAAACGGTTGTTTGTGTTGGTGGTGTTCAGTAACACTGTCTAGATTGGTAAATTATTACACTTTAATTAGGTTTTATTGCAATAATTAAAACAAAACTTTATTTTCGGACAAAAAAGGAGGAAAATTTGATTTATATAATGATGGACTGATCCAATCGAAATGTATAGATTAGTATTAGGTTAGTGAAATCAGTTATTTGGTAGGGCAACTGCTTGTCATCCAAGATAGATTAGTGTTGGTCTTAGAGACCTGGATACGTGACCGCAGAGTCCAAGGGACAACTGCTTGAGGCCAGTCACGTACGGCCTTTTTATGAATGGTTTTTTTGAGAATTAGCTCCGCTCTTGAAAGCACTTAGTGGGCACCCTTACCGACGGAGACGGAAATCCGTGAGGTAGGGTGAGGTGTGACATTTTTAGGGTCGACCTTTTCTAACCACTTCCTTCCTTGTGAGAAGGCAGCATCGCTGCAGATACTGACTGTCCGAGAGAAACACCTTACTGCTGTCACACTCCTCTGCAGTCAGCAGTACGACTTCGCCCTCAGACCTTGGGTAGCTGCTTTTAGTCTCATCGTTCTCCAATCGACCTGACTGGCATGGTAGAACCTTCAGGAACATATGTTCCAGCCAGTATAGCTCGGTTGGGTCATCACAATAGGCAAGCCCGACCACCACGTCAAGGTAGCAGCT